TTTAAAGCTGGGGAGCTTCTCTGAGGGGCGCGAGTCTGGTCTTGTGGCAGCGGTTTTGGGGTTTTTGGTGGGACACTTTCGTGGGTTCGGCACCCCAGATCCGTTTCGCCAGGCCCAGGCCCAGGCGCACGACCGGAAGGTTGCAGCAGGCGCCTTCGGACGAAAAAAAACACCCGCGGCGTGGCTGGCGCTGCTTGGGCGCGTTCCCGTGGCGCGCGGTGTGTGGAGGTGGGTTCAAAAATTAAACAGCCCGGGGTACGCAGGTTTCAGTCTTTTTGGTTCCATTTGCCAAGGTTTCCATGTTGGTACATGTTTTTGACCCATAGCCAATTTGCAGGATCCGTGTTTCGTTTCCAATTTGGTCGGCCATTTAGTTGTCCAGTTCCCTTCTTCCACGTTTACCTGTCAGGAAACATACATTAGCGTGAAAGTTTGAAGCTTTACGCCTCATTCTTCATGTATTCTGTCCTTTTGCCCCGGTGCGTCCACTTGCATTGATTTACCAAGGTAAGGGTCATGCAACACCTGACAAAGGACAAGGGTGATCCAGTTTTGTCAGATCTTGTGCCAGCAGGAGCACCTGTTTTGATCCAGTTCTGGTTGTTTGGTGTTCCGTTTCGTGTCGCGCTCGGTATGTTTGGTGGTTGGCTGTTTGTTGAGCTTGTGCATATTTGTCATGTCAAAGGTGAAGATTAGCTCAATTCCTCGAGACGCGGGAGTTCTACCTAGCTCGACCTTGAAATTATGGCACGATGTCCCTTGGGCAATCACCAACGCGCTTGCTATGTTTGAGTGGCGCGAACAGAGCATATCAATTTCAGCATGCCCACCAGGCTTGCGCTCTAGCTGTGGGAACCAGTTTCTCCGGACTGTTGTGCGGGGCTATGAAACGCGTCCCTCAAGTTGTGAGCCACCGCGGCCCCTCAAGTTTGAAGCCTAAGGCTCGGCCCTTTCCAGCGCCGCAGCTGACGTTTAAGGGGATGGGTCAAAATTAAACCACCAGGAATTGGACCGCAGGTTTTGGTCCATGCTTCCAGTTACCAGAGATCCATTTGGGGTACCTATTTTTGACCCACACCCATTTGTGCAGGCATTGCCCGCGTGTTGGCCAAGGGCAAAGACCCGAAACTCGTCCTGGATCTTCGCCGCTAGGCAGCTTCATGCCGCGCGCGCAGTCGGCAGCCCTAGGGGGCTGCGGGTAGTGCGGGTAGGGTAAAGATAGCTGTGGGGTTGAAGCGAGACAGGACTCAGGTTTCTATGATCTCAAAAGAGGGCATGAGTCAAGCGTTCAGAGAGGGTAACCAATGTGATTTCAAGCCTGTACTGCAGGTTTGGTCACCATCCCACGCATGTTGAGGGTGGCAGGCTGAAGTGTATTTCTTCCTTGACCGATGCAAGAGCAAGCATGGATCTACAAGGCTATTGACTTCTCATTTGGCTTGGTTCCCCTTGATGAGTTGGAGGACTTACTGCGCACACAGTGAACATGCAATCACCTCGGAGGTAGAGGAAGCCACTGGGTTTCTCCAATCACTTTCCTAGCCTTGTAAAACATGGCTATGGGTCACAAACATGTACCACAATGGATCCTTGGCAAGTAGAACCAAAGACTAAAACCTGCGTAACCCCGGCAGTTTAATTTTGAACCACACCCACATGATCCAACCTGTATTGGTCAATGACTAGTTAAGACCGCTCCTTGGTTTCGAGCGAGATATTTTGGACAAGGGACAAAGACCTTAGCCTTGATGTCACCCCTCATAGGCAGTACCCACTTACACCGAAGCATTTCATTTGTGAGGGTCAACTTGATCGAGCGATTCTTTCGACAGGCAACGCTTTAAGACAAACACACATCTCCCTTCAACGTCAGTCTCAGTCGGATAAAACGCTTTGCCATGCTTTCAACCCGTGTTGTGTTTTGCGACTGCCCCGATGTCTTGCGAAAACAGAACGATGTGTTCTTGTCAAGGTCAGAGGCTGGTGAAGAATTGAGCAGAGAATCAAGCTGGTTTTGCGTGGAGTATTGCTTGCTGGGTCGAAGTTTTGGCAGCTCACATGATTATGCTGCAGAATCCATGTAACGCCGTCAAACCAGCGGGGAGCAGCGCTTTTTTAGCCACTCTTGCCTACGGCCCCAGAAATTGCGTGTTGTTTGGAGCCAACTCCCTATTGTCCCTGCAGCCTGCCAGTAGAAGATGGCTAAACAAATTAGAGCTCGATGTTTACCGGGCTGTTCAGGGAGCTGGCAGCAGAAGTTCGCCACTTGCACATGGGGGATGGTCGGGCTTGCAGTGCTTTAGAGGCGCCATAAGCTTGCCGAGACATAGCCGCGGAAGCCAGTCGGTGTCTTTGCTGAAGTAACGTAACACACGGAGACGTGGAGAACTCTCCCTTCCGAAGGCTGAGTCTTGCAGGTAACATTCTGAGGATGTTGTGCTGATTTGAGGCGATCGAGTTGATTCCGTCAACGCTAGAGTGAGACGAATGGATCACTTAAAAGCTTGCTTGCAAAATCATAGGAAGGGTCCGTGAGCATGTATCATGTCCTACTTTTGGGGGCTCATGGCAAGAAACATAGGGAGTACGCGTTTACTAAAGATCCGTTTGGCTAATTTCTGCGAGGTTCCACGAAAGAAGTTTGAGTCTTTGTGTGCTAGGTTGTTTGCAGTGCCGATAACCTCTGCTTTCCTGTAGGTGATTTCCTATTCAATTTCAATTCTATCTGGATATGCCATTTGTTGCTGACTACGAACAAAGGAGTAGTAGGTATGGGAAAATTCAATTCATGGTTTTTTCAATCAACTGCCAAGCATGTTCTATATGGAACACATGGTCCCTTCACAAATCCCGCAGTGTCCTGGCACGTAGCAACTAGCCGCTGGGGTGTCGAGCAAAAAAAGGTCTCCGCCCACTTCTCCAGTGCTCGGCGGCGGCCACTCGGTGCATTTCTTTTGTCAGGGTTGAGGGATCAAGGGGTTAGTCCCCACTTCTTTGTTACGAGGGAATCTCCCCCATAGGTGTCCTTTTTAGGAAAATAGATGGCCCGGGTCAATGGAATAAAACCTAAATCAGTGCCATCTATTGCTAGCCAAAAGCCTATGATCTCCCGCCTTTTTCTTGGGGTGTTGGTCTTTAGGAAGCCTTTTATCGCAGAGGCGGTCATCTCTGTTTTGGAGAATGTTGTGGACGCTTGATCCATTGTTCACCTATTTGTGTTGACCAATTTGATTCTAGCGACCAAAAGCTACCCCTCGATATTTTTTTCGCACATCTTTACAACAGGACGCTTTCAGGACAAGAGTCAATGATGTAAATCCTTCTGGAATCTCAGGCCTTTGCCCCGATTTCACAACGGACAGAGACGCCCATATGGCCATGGGTCAAAATCCCGGTTAGCCCCCAGTGAACATCCCAATCCAACCACTAACATAGGCTCTAAAATGGGGGCTGAATTCATCTACCCAAAATGGGATCCCATTGGTTTTGACCCGCAGCCATATCTTCAACACTCCCCCACCTGGAAAGTCCTTACGTTCGTGGGCGGGTAGCAGGCACTCGCTGGCCAAACCTTTGTTTACAAAGCACAAGGGGAGAGTTCATAGAGTTCTCAAAATAGGAATTGGTCCCCCAAAATGCTTGGCGTAATTTTAGTCTCCCCTGAAATACCAACTAAGAGGGGTCCACCTTTTTGAGAAACACCCATCCGTTCTTCTTACTTGAGTTTGCAATGAGCAATGTTTTGGGGTCCAATGTCCATCTTGCTTTAGTCAAGGGTCCAAACGTGAAGATCCAGACACTCAATCACCTGTCTCTGCATGACCACTTTTGGACGCTTCGTTGAGTCTACTCAGCGCTCATTTAATTGCGTGTTTCAATCAATGCAGCCCCCCTTGCAGATTTGTCTTGAAGACTCTCCCTGTTCAACAAAGATGCACGTTGCCCCACAGCCTAGATGAGAATAGGGCCAAACTGCCACAGAGTTAAAGATCATTTTGATAGCTTCTTCTTGTTATAGCTGGGTTTTCAGCAACCACGAGATGATGGGTCCACAAGTTTCCATTTCGCCTGCCTCGTTCAGATTAGCTCCCCTGCTCCGCCAGGGCCCACCCTTTGACTTACACGAGTTGACAGCTGGCCGGCGCTTTTCACGTTTTTTTCAACTTCGGGTGTATCTTGAAAGCACTTCCAACAAAAAGAGTGCATGGGCTTTGACACAACAAAACATGTTCTTTGACATTACCTTTAAACCTGGACCTTGAGATAAGTATTGTTTACAAGCGCGCTAGCGACAAGTTGAACTTTCTGCATAGATCGAAGATCAACCCAGTTGGAAACTACGGAATATGCTGGAGCGCTTCCAGGCAACAGAGTCGTTTCCACTTGGCCCCCTTGTTTTTGGTCTCTCAATGGATGAAGTTTTGTCATCACTATCTTTGGTGACCACCTAGAGCAGGATGGCTCAGACTGGAGGCTGTTGATTTGGGGCCCTCGGCGATTCCGGATTGCCGGTGTGCCTCTTTTGACAAGACATTTGGCACTCTTTTGCCTTTTGCCTTTGTGATAGCGCACAATGTCTTCGACGCAGCGATTTATCGGGGAGGGGGGGGGGAAGAAGGAGAAGGCCCCAAAAACAAACGAGTCAGCACCCTTATTCGTTTGCGGAGTTTTGTTCGAGATTCGGAGAGCACGCAGGTTAAAGCGATCTTTGCGAGCTCTGTCTACTTCAGCGACAGCTGCTTGACTGTCTAGGGCCTGGGCTTGAGCTGAGTTGCATGGTGTGGAGGCGTAACTCATAGCAGAAATCGGTACGCCAAACACAAGATTTGATGAGCCCTTCAATGGCGGGAATTGGTACCTTTTTGGAGTTGCATCATCGTTACAAATTGCGTTTGTGACCGAAAGTATCACTGTCCCATGCAAGCAGAAATGCAGTGACAAATTTGCGAGTTCAGATGAAGCAGCCGGGTGCTCAAAGTGTCAGCACCGTTGCAGATGCCTGAAACCAGACAACAATTGCCAGCATGCGTATAGCAATGTTGACTTGCTTCGGCAAATAGACAGAGTCCAACTTAGAATCTGAGCAATGCTCAGACAAATGGTTTGCGTTACTCAGACACGTATATTCTGCGAAAACACGGTTCAAGGCCACGTTAGAGAGTTCAAGTTTATATGTTTTGCAGGGCAGGACCAGCACTTTTGCACAAGATGCCAGATGTTGACGTTTTTTTCCGGCTAAGAGAACCTATTCGTCTAAGTAAGAGAAAGTGGACCGCTTTTTCTTCGGCCAGAAACCAGTAATTACCTTTGCAGGGACGTAGCGCATCAGCTGTGTCATGGGCCGAAGCTGGAAAGTTGTTTCTTGGTCGTTGCTCAATATCTTCGGGCCATTGGACATGTCAACGTTAAATTCATCCGGAGGACTGTACCAATCAGACCCCGGAAACACCGGATCCTTACTGAAAGGGCATGCACTCCGGGTCGACCGGAGGCTAACATTATAGAACCATCAAATACCAGTCGCCTGTGGAAGACATTCCGGGCCCGGTTGCCATTTCTTTTCCGTGAGACTTTAAGGAAGCCATTGTCTTTTGGACGGACCAAAAGCTGGGCCTGCCTGTGTGACCATGCTGTTTTAAGGTTAGACAGTTAGACACGATTGTTCTCATCTTGCTTTACTTCAATGCGTCAGCAGAAGCATTCCTCCTTTGAAGCATACCGAGGCTTTTGAGTCATTCCAGAGGTCCTGCTTCAGGTACCTGTTCATCATTGACGTAGCAGCTCAACTCTTTCAGCAAACAAGGTTGGGTCAAATAAGAAGCATCCTTGAATCCTTGAAGCAATCAAGTACTTGTCACCAGTTCAATCCTTGAGTACCATTACAATCATGGGTCAAATTCTTGAGCACTTATTGTCTAGGTTAATCCCTTGAGCAACATTTCTCAATCAGCATCCAGCCGGTGTAGGCACCACTTTGGATATCTTAGGATGCTCAATCGAAGTGTTGCCATTGACATGAGGACCTTTCCCGCCCCCGATTTGGCCAGCTTTGAAAGCCACTTGGTGTCAACATAGGCCCAATGGTGGTTTCCCTTTTGGCCACCTGAAATGGTACTCAAAGTAGTACGTGGGCAACAACCATGGTTATACTGTTATACTCCACAAAAGGCGCAGCTATAAGCCTCCGTTCAGTGGGTTATGTCATCCGGCTTACCAAGCATACCAAGTACGCGATCGCCCGCTTAAGTACCCTCAACAAACCGCTCGACTTGGGTCCCGTGGTATGGCTTGCGAAGCTTGCCTGAGGCGAAAGAAGCAAATGCACTCTGAGGCTTCGATTTATGGGAAGTCAGCACGGACCATTCGCGGTGTGACGCAGACAAGGCAAAACGGCAAAACAGCGGGACACAAGTACAGATAAAGTGGAGGTGTCCTCACTTTGGAGGGCCTTCACTTTTGGAGCAATTCGCACCCTAGCTAAGCAGCCAGGATGATTCTTCTGGCTTCAACCCTTGGAGCAAAATCCAATCCCCGATGTGCTGCCAATGTGCCGGCTTCCCTTCCACTAGCTTCATAACTGGTCAGAGATTCACCCAGAGCCTCAGCAGCCGAAAGGGAATGCCTTTCGATTTGGGCAAAACTTAGCCAAGAGGCCCAAGAGACCCTTTTTGATGAAAAGGGCCACTGGGACATGAAAATCCCTTGCATCCCAAAGTGGAGAGATCTTGTTGGACGACGGCACGTTGTGGATACTCAACAAACAACTCTCCGCGAGGTACGTACCGCAATTGCATTACAACCCTCACACAAGCGCCCACTTGTTGCATTCATAGCAACAGGTAAGGGGCTGGATACTTGTTTCCCGGCCGAAACATGCGTGGCTATGAACATGAGAAGGGGGGGACAAACAGATACAACAAGTTGCATAATTAACGGGGACGTAGAGCTGGAAGCATGTGTCATATATTCCGCCATGCAGTGTTTTCCTTTTGCAACTCGATTTTCCAGATGTGAGCCAAATCAAAACGCGGGTAGATGAAGGTTAGTAAGGGGCAGTCCCAGCCGGAAATAGTTGCGGCCGCCTTTCTAATTCTTTACATGGCTGTGGGTTCACCATTTTTGTACCAGGTTTTTATTGTGACTCATGTGAGATTCTTCTTCGAGCTCCAATAGTTTTGAGACATCAGTGATGCAGGAGTCGCAACGTCTTGCAACAAGATATCAAGGAATTACGCAGCGATGGAACAGCTACCTAGAATGAATGAATAAGCTATGATAAGATAACCGGGCAGGGCAAACAGACAGAACCACTCGACAGCTTCGCTGCTCGATAAAACGTGTTGTCGGGGCTAGCTTGCGGTTTACGCTTGCCACACCATTTTTGGCTAGAGAGTACCAACAATACCCGCACCTTTCGCGAGGTCCAAAGTGCGTGATATCAGGTCTAGTTGTTTGAACTTTCACCTGAGGTGGCCACTGACAACTGCGGGCCGGTTCTGAAAAAAAACAGTTTTTGAGAAGTCCCTTTTGTTGGAGATGGAAGGACATGCGCAGCAGCCACCTCTGGCGGGTCTCGGGACGCTCCGCACTGATTCCAATGCAGAAACCACGGTGATGCCGCAGCTTTCCACGCAAATTACGGAGAGTCCTTCGAGTGTGGCGAGCCTGTTTGTGCCGCTGCACCGTAGCAGTATTTGTCTGACGCATGAAAACCGAATTCGATGGCCCTCGCCAGCCTACCTCGCTTCTCATGGCGAGTGGTAGAAGTTCGGCTTAATTTGATTTTGCATGGAGCGGACTTGCAGCGCGGCAAAACAAAAGCCATTCGCGGGCAGTTCGGGAAACAAACAAGGCCGGCCGGTGATGCACAATGACAATAGTGGATGTATGCTGAAAACTAGGGCCATCATGAAAGGGCGTCATAATGGTGTATGTTTGAAAAGGCTGTTCGGAGTCATAAGGGTTCTGATTGAAGGCACGGCAAGTTTGTGCCAATAGGGCATATGTTACTTCAAAGCGATGGAGCCTTGCCATACCTTTTTTGAGACCACATTACATCTTCTGAGAAAGGGGACGGCTCACTGTGTTCCCAGCAAACGGGCTCTATCTCATTTGCTTATTTGCTTCTGCCAGGGGTTCTGCGAAGTATTTCTGGGGGGTCACTTCTGCCGGGTTTTGCAAAGCAGGTTCTTTTCCTGTGTACTGTTCTTTTCGATGTTCTGCGATTAGCTTGGCGGTTCTGGAGCCGGCAACATGGATCCAGGTTCTGCAAATTTGGTTTGGGGCTAATCGGGATGCCCCCCTTTCGCTGGCACAAAAAGCCGCCCAAGTTGGGGAGAAGCTTCTCGCGGTCTCGGAGCTGTCCAGATGGCGTGCTCCTCATCTTTCGCGTTCCTCACGGACAGCACAGCTCTGGGTCCAGCACGGCAATACAGGAATCTGCAAATAATGCACTGTGTGAAGTCAAGTAAGACTAACAGGGCTCCTTAAAAGATACATTTTGCCCATTTGAAACATGGCTTTTCCCCCAAAAAATATGGGGAAACCACCATTTACGAGTTGCAATGTTCAGGTGTATGTAAGGATCCCTGACTAAGTTAGCCACAAAGACACCTGGACATGGAAATTTCCAGTGGTTGAACTGGTCTTGGCACATTTGGACGTGCGGGTTTGTAGTTGAGCGCCGCCTTTTCCCGCACCGGCTCCGACGGGGGGAGCTTCGGGTGCAGCTCAAGAGAGACAGCGAGGCCCCGATTGGCTCCCCGTTGCTTTGGGAGTTATCGGGTCCGGAAGGTGGGGAGGGCCTTCCCCTACTAAAATAGACTACAGAAAAAAAGTTGGTACCCACATTCTAACCTCTGTACTAGGATCAAGAAACCCTTGGTTGGTGGTTTGGATTGGTGATTTGAAATTGGATTTGAACAGATTCTCAGGCCCTTTGGGCAAGTGGGGGTAGAACTGCGAGTCCAGTCTCCGCGGTGACGTAGAGTAATGTAGATACAGTTTTTTTCCAACCTGGATATTAGCACAACCCTCCGGTTAGGCAGCAGTTCCTTTTGGGGTGGCCTCCTGTTTGTTGTTTCAAGGCTACCTCCTAGGCATCCAGCTCCTCTTGAGCAACCTGGTAGAGGGTCATTTGTAGAGTCGAGTTTGATTGCTGGAGTATAGACAACAGATGAGGGATACCATAGCGCCGGCTGTTTGTGAGGGGACTGCTCAGAGGTTTGTGCGGGTTGGGTGCACTTTTTGCGGACAAGGCTGGACTGTGTTGCTGTTCGAAGCGGGGCATGGCTTTTGGACAAGGTTGCCGGGAGTGTAGTTTGAATTGAGCACCGGACTTGGTTTGGCTTGGAGCGTTGTGGTTTCATGAGCGCCCACGGTTTCAGTTTTTTTGAAGAGCATGTGCCGCACGGTTGTCCCAGTAGCTCCTGGCTGGCAGTGTTTTGTGAGGTGTTTGTGGAGGTCTGTTTCGTTCTTTGGTGGTATTGTACCCCCGGGAACATACAGGGTTGATCAAAATTCCGTGCGCCCCCCAAATGATCATGAGTATATTTTCCCATTCAATGCGAAGTGTCATTTGTTTAGGGTGTTTAGGATGTTTTCCTCAATTTTCATCCCATGTAAAGGACGTTTTGCTCAGCCCCCACATAGAGCTGTAAGGGTTCCCAGATCGCAAACTCCAGGGGTCCGAGGGATTTTTTTACGGCGCTGAAACGCAGACATGTTTCACATTTTTCCCAGGAATGACTCCCTGACACGCCAACTTGCAAACTTGCTCTTCAAGGTTCTTCAGACTCAAATGCTTTCATGTCGAATGACCAAGTTGTTTCTTGAGGAGTCGGTTTCCCTCTGGGAAACCTTCTCTTTTCACCTTTGCTTTCTGAAGTTCAAACGGAGCTGGGCAGAGGCCTGGTGCTCAAGTTTGAAAGTCAACGGGGCCCTTAGCAAGTGACCTTTGTCGTGATTTCTCTCTTCGGGCATCTGGGGTGCCTCGCTTTTGGAGACAGAAAGCCAGCCCGAGCCCTTCTGTAGGTCGGCAGTTCTACTGCCTTACCGTGGTTTACGTATGATGGCTTTCTCGGGTTACTCACCTTCTTTGCCAGCACCGGTTTCTCCGAACTCGGAGCTGGTTCTGGCCCATCCGATGTCTCTGCCTCAGGCATGGAAAACCTGGACCTCGGGAACTATCAGAACCCACGCTTCGCAGGAGGCCGACGAAAGCCTCGGGCGCCTCTCATGAACCCCAGGGCTACAGCGCCGTGGTGTTTTTCTTTTTGTGAGCTGTGGGTCAAAGAAAATTACAAGGGGGCAATCCGCAGGCAGTCCTTTCTATTTACCGAAAAGGGTCATTTTGGGCACCCGGATTTTGAACACCGAGCCAAACAAAGAGCTCTAGCCGCCGCGTTGGGGTCAAACCGCCGTGATGTGGCAGTGTCCGAAGTTTAAAAAGGGACCCCCTAGTCTAGTGGATGCGTGCAAAGGGAGACAAAACGACATCCGAAAAAACAATGTTGTTGTTTGTCTGTTTAATGTTTCCTTTCAACAACCAACAATCATCACGGCAGCTTCGATCGGGATATCATTCTGAGAAAGACGCTAGGAAGCGTGATGTCGGCATATAACGGGCAAGTGTGACCCGTGTCGCCAGAGGCCCGAACAGAGCTGTGTCCAGATCTTCAAACCAAAAGTACAACCCGAAAAGGATGCTTGACGGCAAACCTGGCGGCAGCCGCCCATAGATCCGAGGAAGCGATACTTGCAGTCTCTGAGTGTAACCCCTCTCGTTTCATTTTCAAGTTACTAAGTTACTCCCCTTGTTCGTTTCCAAGTTACTAAGTTTGCTTCATGTGTCACGGCAACTTCAAAAATCGGCCCTTCGCTCTCGCGCCAGGCGAAGAGGTCATCGCCCCTAGCGGCAGCATTGAAGGCATCCAGGCGGGGCACCTCCATGCCGGCCGAGCTACCCCAGGAAACATGGAAGAACAGCCTTGCGCGGCCCCCAAAAATGCCAGAACATGGGGCTTGTAATTCGTCTTTAAAGGGCCTGGGAGGGCTTCCATGTTGACCCTGCTTCTTAAATAGGAGTTCGAATATGTGATGAGACGCCTGGCTGCACTGCAAACCGTATGCCCTCAGAAAACCCAGCGAACATGACTGCCAGCTGGGCTCCGGGGAGCTCGCATTTGGGGGGAGCCTAGGTTCTGCTAGTCTCAGTTGCCGGCCGACCTTTGGAGCTTTTGGTTTGCCCGAGTTGGTCCATTGTCAAGGGTCCAAAAGTTGGTTTAGTTTTTTTTTTTTGGTTTTTATATTTCTGTCCTTTTGGGCAACTGAGCAGCTCCCATTTCGGGGATCCCCTTTTTTTTCTGTTGAGTCACCTGCAGCCCCGAGCCCGTAGTTCGCCCACGCCCCTGGTCTTACGGGACCAAATTGAGCAGTTTGAGTTCCGTGCGGTTTTGGAGTCGATGGTTCAGTGGAACTCAAGCGGAAATGAGTTCTGGGCAGTGTGAACCAGCTCAGCTGGCCCCCATGATGTTAATTACAATGAACTTCAACTAGGGGTCTAATTGGCGGTTTGGATTGGTGGTTTGCGATTATTCCTTGTTTGGCTTTTTTTGGGATTATGTTAAACCACCAATCCAAGCCACCAAGTAAGCGGTTCCCCATGATGAAGGTCCTTTGCTGGAGAGATTGACTTATTCGGAATTATAGTAATTTGCCTAGATGAATGTCCTTCAACAAACATATGTTGATTCGATGAACAAGGTCTGAGCTGTGGTTTCATGTGCTTGCTCCATCGGACAGTGCTATTTGAGTTGGAATATCAAATTGGAAATTCATTGGAGGGGGTGAGAATCGGACATGTCATTAGAACTTAAATGCAGCTGATTTGGAGGTGGCGGATTCACTGGAACTGGGATTTTATGTGGACTTTGAGCGAATTCGCAGAGAAACTGACTGGACAACAATTTGGACAGTTGCTTGTGTCACTGGATCTGCTTATGTTTGCCCAGCCTCATGAAGCGGCCTTTGAGGCTACTTGTGTTGTTATGCTGCTGCAGCGGAGCCTTGCACACCCTTGGGCCGAGAATTGCTACCACAGCGGATGCGAGCACCTGGAGAACGCATTGAAACCCGGAAGACCTGCTGGGATATGGATCTCACGTAGACCGTGAAGTTTCGCATGTGCTGGTGGCACAAGGCGGCAACAGGCCGGTAAGGGCGTGGTGAAGGGAGCAGTGACTGCATGCAACCCACGCACTTGGGTTCGCATCAGGCGGACGGTGCAGAAGCGCAACCGGTGTGGACTTGAAAGCAAGCTTGTTGGACCACTGTCCAAGATCCAACAGAGCTATAAATACGCCGGCCCACGTTCTATGTAACTTATTTTGTGTCGATTCTGAGTGAACCATAGGAGTTCAAGTGTTGCATAAAGCAAAGATCCGAGGGTCTCATGCTCTGTGTAAAGCCCGGCCTGGTGTCAGGAAAGAACTGCGTGACCG